CTTATTTGTAAAAAAAAAAAAAAAAGAGGAAAAAAGAGGGAAAATGTGACTTTTCGTATGCTGCCCGAGTGTGTAACTCGTCTCTCATTGTCTCTCAAACCAATTTTCTTGAACTACTTCCAGAAGCGCGTCCTACGTTACAGCCAAAGTAGCAGTTACTTCTCGTATGTGTCAACCCTTATCTCCCTCAAGCTGCAGACTTTGCAAGGAAGAGTTACTCTAACTGCCTACTATTGTGCCTCACTTTAAATAAATCCAAAACGTCGGCATATACTACCCCCTGTCAGGTGTCTACCACGCACATTCTTCGCCATGAATTGGCAAAGCCCCTGTGCGAGATTAAAACCAGCACGAAGCGTTTCTACGACTCCATTCTTTCTAGCGTGGTCAGGTTGCCTATTCCCGGTCCAGTTCAACCAGTTTCATTCACCTCTGCTGTGTCCTCAGTCTTCCTTGCTTTTTCCTGATATTATATGGATCCCTGCTTCTGTAGCTTCGATGTCTGACAAAGACGATCAAAATATAATTTGCACTAACCTTCCCTGTGAATACGGATGCATCATAATTGAATCAACTTGCGATTAACAATTAACAAAGGCAGCTCATCTTTCCCGTTATGACCCGTTAATTTTACTGTTAACGTGATCAATGCCGCGTACAGTCCACCTGTCAACGTTCTCCATTGATCAGTTTCCCCTTGACGATTGCAATCGACAAAATTGGAGAGCACCTTCCGCATATCACCCTATTTTCAGAACACAGCATTTGTCGTCACTGAACGACACAGGCAGGTGAAGCTAGACAACGCTTTTCATCCTGCCAGAATCTGCGGCTCTAGAAGGTACCTCAAGTGCTCATGCCGCTCAATCGATTCGATATCAATAATTTGATATTGAGGCTCTGAGGGCACTGCTCCTTTGAGAATTGACAGTCGCCGCTCTGTCCGAAGAGATAGGTTCAGCCCTGTTGGGATCGATGTACGAGTCCCCTGCTCGAGTTGGTCTCCGATCGACCTTTGAGCCAAGAAGTATAATGACGGTGTAACGCTGCGTAATTGGAACTCATGAATCTGTCGGACGTATGCACCAGATAATGTGCGAATCGTTCGAAACCGGCAACAAAATTGGCCTTTGATCTCCAAAGGAGACCAGTGCAAGAACGTACTTCTCGGGATTACGTAGAGATCAAATTACGCGAAATATGATTGATCCGTAATTAGATCTCTTACCCAAGGGGCAGACAATAGCGGGACCACTTTTCTCTCAAGAGGAAAGAGACTTGGCTTTCCATGAAGCAGAAACGTCCACAGGCGACAGCATATCGGCGGTCGAGGTTAATGATTGGTGAATAAGTGATGGATTTCTCACCTGAGGCATATCCAGCGATTCTCTCTGGTGAACTGCTCAGTCCTCTTTTCATTCTAGAGTCGAGCCTATATCCCTTTACAAGGTAAGGACCAGCGCTGAAGCACATCATCGATAAAGGTCGACTTAATTCAATTTTTTCCTTTCATAAACGAATCAGGTATGGTATCCTGGATTTCCGAGGACGTCAGAAAAAAGAAGTAGCGCAAGGAAACATGCAAGCAACAATTTTCCTTTTTGAAGGAGGACCTCTAAATATCCTCAGGAGATATGATCAGAAGATTATAGCTCGCCCTCCCGACCCGCGTCTGGATTGGCTGTGCTTTCCTTTGTTCCCAGGTTGTCAGGCTCGCTGCATCGAATCTTCGGTAAGCCAGAGTTATGCTTTCACCCAGACATCAATCGCGTTCATCACTTCCCACCAGCCAAACTCGAAGAGTTGAGAATCAGAGAGGATCTTAATAGAGAATTTCATGAAAGGAAACGTAATAATTAAAAACATCGCCTGATGAAGTACTGAAACTAACATCAGTACGGGAATAACTTATTTTGAGCTGACTTAGCAGGTAACACCCTAAATCTAGCAACAGAAAAGCGCAGCACAATCATAATCAAGCAATCGTTTCAGTAATCCGCAGATATTTTGAAATATATGTTTTGTTGTAAAGACGTAATTTCACATACTCAAATGGAACTATACAAGCTACTTCACGATCCCATCGCGGAAGGAACTGAAAATTGTACTTAAGTCTATGTAGTCGATGTCATTTAAGTTTGGGAGATGTCTAGCTCACGACTATTTCACAATTTATTAATATTAGAAAACTTCGGCGGTGGTTATTCCATTAGTTATTTTGGTACTGTAAGCACACCATCAACTGCTTGGATTACAAGGGCAACGCCTATATCCTCTTCAGACCCGAGCGGCACGTACGAGGTTTATGTGCCTAATCATATAGTTTTTATTTTCCTTAGGTCTGAGGATATTTGCTTAGCCGCGCTCATCTGATAAATCAGGTCAAGTAGCGAGAGGCAGATGATTGCATTAAACATAATTGGCGAAATTTTTTCAAATCAAAAGGTAATCACGCTATGCACAATAACAAATTTGCGTCAGTGACTCGAAAATATGTATGTACTGACGCCATTCAAGTGATGTATGACGAATGCCTCGTAATCCTCATTGTCGGGTAAGGAAAGACGCAAGGTTTGGCTATGAAAAGCTTCGTGCCAGTCAGGCCATGAGTTGTTGTTGTTGTTGTTGTTGATGATGGGCCGTTTGCCTTGTGCAAATTTGGCCCAGTGCACAAAATTCAGAATAAGTCCTGGAAATAATATTCTCTATGATAACTTAAGGGGTACCCACTACAGACACAATATCCCATTCTACTGAAATTTTAGTCTACTGCCCACTGCGCCGATCAGGGGGACTTACACAAGACAGTACAAGGGGAAAGGGGCCTTGTTAATTCCGAGGTTTGACAAGGATGGATAACTATCTCTAACTTAATAGATTTTAGGTCTATAATGTGAATAAAAGTCCTGTCTTTTCCAGGAAAGTTTCTAGACCATTATATTTCGCATCTCCAATTAGTAAAGGTAAACTCAAAGGGGAAGTGATCCCAGCTGTTTGTAATTGTGATTTCATGGAGTTTCTCTCCTCTTCGTAGCATATGCAATCCAACAGTATGTGGGAAATAGTCTCAGACACCTGGCATCTATCACAGAGTGGGGATGGTGCACAATTTATGCGAAAAAGACCTTTTGTATGGGCATGGCCAATTCTAAGCCTACATAGAACTACTTCAAAACGTCTGTTATCTGAGTTACTTATGTCCCATTGTCCTGGGGTTGGCTTCAGTTGATATAAATGGCGACCCGTAGTGGAGGTGTCCCATTGTAATTTCCAGTTCTTGTTAAGGTAGTTATTGATCTGTAGAGAGATTTCTTGAGAACATGCACGTGGTTGTATTGGTTCAGGTTCAAGTTGTCGATGGAAACGGTCAACCAGACGATAAAGTAACGGAAATTACGGGGACACAGGTCCTTAGGTAACCTTTTAATATTGTGTCCCATTAAGTAATTACGTCATTATTTCAACCCGATTTTGAAATCCATATGGACCAGTAACTGAGCATGATGATATGCTAGTGAGAACTGACTGAGTCACTAAAAACCACTACATCCTGGTTGATATTTCTATCCTTAAGGATACGTAGGGCATCAATAATTGCTAGTAACCCAATAATAAAGATGCTGCAGCCTTTTCTCACACTCGCACTCTTCTTAAGATTAATAGAGGGGATCCATATCCCAAAACCACCTCTACCATTCTGTTGTAGGGAACCATCAGTAAAGACATGCATTATTTTGTCATATTTGGTCATTTTCTCTAGTGCTTTTTGTTGTAATGAGTATTCATCAACATCTAGACCAAGGTTTGGGTATACCTCAAAAGACCAGTCAGTCCAGGGAGGGAGTTCCTCGCTAAGTAATTCTGGTGCGATGTGTTCATATATACTGTAGTTATGGAGTATTTCTTGGCATTTTATAATGAAAGGGAATTTTTTCCAAAGTTGGTCATGTCATAATAGGTGAGATCTTTGTTAGCCAATCTGGCAGTTGCAGTATGATCTGGGAGACTTCTAATTTTACTGAAGTATCTTAGGCTTAGAAGTTGGAGTCGGATTTTCATTGGTAAGATATTAGTATCAACATGAAGAGCGTCTATTGGGGATGATCGAAATGCTCCGGTTGCTATTCTAAGGGCTTGATTTTGTATCGTCTGTAAGGGTCTAATCATAGAGTCACCTTCTGTAAGGAGGATGGGTGCACCAAACTCCATCTTACTACGTATAAAGCCTTTATAAAGGAGAAGTAGGCAGAATCTATCAGCACCCCAGTTCATTGCTGCTACTCGTTTGAGTAAGTTGAGGCGGTGTGTGCAGCTATTTTTCACCATTTGGAGGTGTGTCTTCCATGACAATCGCTCATCCAATAATAATCCAAGGAATTTAATAACAGGTTTCCTTGGGATTACAACTCCACCTAATTTAAGAGGAGTAAAGTTTCGTAGTAAGGAGGGGCAATGGGAGAAAACAATAGTAGCTGATTTTTCGGGGGAGAAGCGAAAGGCCCATTTTTTTGCCCAGGATTCAATATGGCAAAGAGCTATTCTAACACTTCCTCTAACCATTGCTTGATCTGTCCCACATTGGGTTGTCCGATTCAGTAGACGTATGTACGGACGAAGTTATAGACCTATACAAAAACCCTTCTGGTTATCCAGTAATTGGTAACACTCTTTATTTTAACCCGAATCTTATCTAGGAACACCCTCTCCTAATTCAGTTTGTTTACATTCTGAGAGGGTTCGTCCTATTCTGACCTGGATCTGTCGATCTTGAAGAAATGATTAGAGCCATTTTAGGGGGATCCCAACAATATCAAATTGTGTCTGGAGTTTGTATAGTAGACCTTCATGCCATACAAGTTCACAAGCCTTTTCAATATCAAAGAAAGTTCCAACTGTCAGACCCCTCAGGCCATGAGTGAATGTGACCGAAACCCGATCCTGCCTTTCAAGGACAACCGACTTTGGATGCCTCAAGGCAACTGTCAGTCTCCCTCTGCTAGGCTCTAACGAAAGCATGGCGACGAGATGGGGGATCGTGAGTGCGGGACGGATCTCGAAGGATTTTACGACGGCCCTCGCTATTCGGGGCAGGGACGAGCACGAGGTGGTGGCGGTCGCCGCACGGAAACGCGAGGATGCAGAACGCTTCGTCGGGGAACTCGATCTACCCCATGCCCGCGTCTACGGCTCTTACGAGGATCTCTGCCGAGATTCTAACGTGGGTACGTCTTCTCATTTCCCCCTTTTTCTCTCTTGCGCGTGGCACGCTAAACCCAAGAACATGATATTTCATATTTCCGTAGTAATTTTACACCTACTTACTCTCCACGAGGCTTTTATGTATCCTCTCGAGTCACCGTTGGAAGGAGCTGGCAACATCCATCTTGGTAAGGGTGGAGCAGATCTTCGGTCTCATCTCATGACCCAAAACGGTGTCTTTTTTAAATCCAAGGGTAGAGAAAAATGTCACTAGAGGCAAGATCTGGGCTGGGTATGTGATACCACCTTGACCTTTGCTCCTCCAAAAAGCCTAAAATAACAAGAGCTGTGTGGGACTAGCATAGTGATGGTGCAGCAGGAGGCCCTGAAGGTGGGGCATTCCTTGCAGGGCCTTCAAGATATAAGGAAGACAGATCTCAAACTGCTCAGAGGTCACTGAAGCGCGGTCAAGCAGTTCAACGATAAGCTAGTGAACCCGGTTCCGGCATATTGAAAACTGCATTCATCCTCCTTCCTGCGCCGAGACCACGCTTCACTTCAGTTGGGGTTGCTTCCCCAAGGACGGGCTAAAGCAGAATATTCTTGTTTGGCTTTTCGTATTGGCATAGTCGTAGGTACATCTTTGTTCACGTGCGAAGTTACGGAACACTCTTGGATTTCTTGTGCTCGAATCTTTCCATCAACGTTCGACATCAATCCATGCCAGCTACCTTTTGGGCTTCAGTCAAGCTGTGTGGAACAAAGAAATTTGAGACCTTCCTCCGACCCAAATACTCATGTATAACCTTCTGTGCTACAGTCCATCCAAAGTCCATCGAAGCTCCTTAACGGTTAAGGTCACAATTGATGCTGCCTTAGAGTCTCTCAGCTGACCTAAACTTTCATCGGCCAGATATGGTTCATTTCAAAATTCCTCATTCCTCCACGAAATACATCAGTTGTGAATAATTGCTTATGAAGGGGCATCTGGTTCAAATAATGTCACCAGCTCCGGTAACGGATAATGACACGGAAGTTCTCTCGACAAGGACTGAACGCCATTACTTCTTATCAGAGGCTTAGAAGGGTTCAATAAGCACTTATAGTATCAAGCAAATCTTAGCACATTCGTCCTCGAAACTAGCAAGGGTTCAAGCTTCGCATCACCACATGGAGTTAAAAGATGCACTTTGACATTAACGAGGTCAGGGACAAAAGCCATCGGATTTGATTTTACGTATGAGAGGCGATTCTCGACATTGACTGGAAACTCTTTCATCAAAGTACGCTCTTTAAGTTCCTCGTTCCCACCAACTACAAGACATGGACACCAGGGCAATTGGCATGCCTTTTTTGCGAGCGGGAAACACCCTGCTATTCGTCGTTTACGTGTTAATTCAAATATCCGGTGTTTTGCAAACCTGACACACCCAACTGCGAATAAACGAAAAGCTCGAAGCTCCCAAGATTGCGACAACTATGCATGAAATTGCAGACTGAGGGCCGGTTCTTAAAAACAGAGTGAAGCTAAAATTGCCGATGAACGAGAGCAATAACTATTTATGCGATGTCGTAAGTTTTGATACGTAAAAACCAATTGGCTTTCGTCCTAGTTACTCCTGTAAGCGCTAAACGCTGGGGCGTAAAAGTGTTCCGGATGGCAGCTATTGACAAGAATATCACTGCAATTGCAAGATGTGATGAGCCCCACCTACAGCCGGACGTGACTAGAACGATCACGTGATCCCATCCCTTTTCTGTGCTCAGGTTCCTGCTTTAATACACCGCTATGAAAAAAGTGAGCAGTCGAGAAGCAGCGAGCGAGACTTTCAATCTTTCCTTGATTGCCCTGTCGAGAACTTTGAAAGATGTTATAATTATTTTTCTTTATCAAACCAATGCAGATAAAAAGAGCTTTCCGACGGTATGGAATTAGTCGTAATAGCTTCTTGGAATTCCTAGCAGTCAACAGGAAAAGAGCAGTCTTAAATAATCTCGAGGGAGTGCTCAATTTCCATTTTTGGAATGGCGTAATACCAGAAGCGGTAATCCTCAATCTGTGTGCTTAGTTCTTTCTGTTTCCCATTGTTTATTTCGCTGCATTTCAGTGGAAAGTGAAAGAGGCAAGAGACGTAGAACTTCAGGGAATGACTTTCTGTGAGATTCGGCCACAGAACAATAGCCGACATGCTCATCCAAAAGGGATGGCAAAAAAAACCTATATCGGAAGCTATTGTCACTAATTCGATAATAAAAAAATTGCTTAATCTATGAACCAAGACTCGTTGAATTCAAGATATTTCCGTGTCGTCGAGGTCATCTCTACCAATCACCAACAGCCGTGACCGAAGTTTTGGGTTGGGTAAGATCTTGGGTTTTGGCCGGCCAAGCTACTATAATAAATAAAATATTTTTTTTTTTTACTAACAGCCTATTTTTTATTATTGACTTTTCAAGAAGTAGCGTTGCTTCCTTCACATCGTCTGCAGGAAGTTACGGATGGAGCACTTAAAACCCATTTTAAGAACTGGCCCTAAGCATCCCTTATCCCCCCCGGAGGTTACCGCTCTCGATTCCACAGCACAACAGCTTGATGGCAGAGCAGCGTTCACAATGGCCATGATGAACTGCAAGCTTGGCGCAATTTCGACACTTTTATTCGTGGGGGGCGGGAAGCGCCCTAAGCGCACGCAGAGGTACCTTTCAGTTGCAGCAAAGGTCTTCATTTTGCATATCTTATCTTTAGTGGATCTTTTTTTTTTTTGTTCATTGCATTACAGGTATGGCAATTCTTTCCTTCCTTCTTTTATTTCAAGTAAAAATTGTTTTATGATGCATTAAATGCTTTACATCATCAGTTTTCTCTTTGGAAACAAGTAAGGCTTGCAAATATACCCGAGTAGTTACCAAACTCTTCAAAGGCAGAGTGATAATCAATGATTTACATTTAAGTAAATATGAAAATATACTCCCCCTTAAACATTTCTGCTTCGCATTTAAGTACATGCTACATATTTATTTTATCAATGATGATAATGGTTGGGATTGCAGAGGTGGTGTACGTGGGGTCCATCAACACAGTCCATTTTGAGGTTTCCAAGATGGCACTTGATCACGGAAAAGCCGTCATTTGTGAAAAACCCTTGGGACTCAATCTCGGACAGACTAAAGAAATCATTCAGCAAGCTCGAGAGAAACAACTCTTCCTCATGGAGGTACATTCGTGGCGGTTTGCACTGTGAAAGAATTTCTCGCCTTCAAGAATCAGAGACAAGCACCTCAGTATTATGTATTAATGCAAGCTCTACTCAAGATAATTATTATGAATTCCCTGACTAAGAGACTATTCACTCAGTGCTCGTGCAGTCTTCATTGAAATTTTTGTTTGGATCCTCATGCTAGGCCATGTGGAGTCGTTGTAATCCGGTATACAGGAAACTAGCTGAGGAGATCCGAGCAGGGGCAATTGGGGAAGTGATGCATTCTTATGGGTCCTCAGGGGCCCCTATATCCTATCCTGGAAGTCGGGTTAGGTACTGTATGAACTATTCCATGAATTTCTTGCTTTTATAAATTCACCTCCTGATGGTTCCCTCTAAAAGCCCATTGAAATTGAAGGGAGAAGGAGCTGGGAGGGAGTGCAGTGCTGGACATCGGGATCTATCCAATTCAGGCATCGTTACTATGCATGGGGGATGAGAAACCTACAGCGATCATGGCCACAGGTCACACGAATGACCTGAACGTGGATGAGGTTATTGCCTGTAACCTCCAATTCAAGAATGGACGGAGTGCCACCCTGGACATGAACTCCACACTCCTGCTCCCGAATGAGTTCTATGTGGCTGGGACTAAGGGTATCATTAAGGTAAACCAGTTTTACCGGTTTTCTACAAGACATTATTGTAAGGATCTACTTTCGTTCCCAATATAAGTTTCATTACGAAAATAGAAAAGAGTGAACAGTTCAGGATAAAACGACAAAAGCCATTCCATTTCTGATATCAGATGAACTAAAATTTTAAAAGTTACAATTAGAGCTAGGTCTATCCATAACCTCGTCAAAAATATAAAAAGTTGAGAGGATATTTAAACGGCTTCTGAGCATTTAAATAAATTATTTTTAAAAAGAAGCTAATATCCAGGATAGCTACAATGAAAATAATGGTGAAAAAAGGTAATCAAGGAGTGAAAGAAAAAAAAATCGAAAATAAGAAATGAATGCCTTTCCTAGCTGAGCAGTCCGATCTGGGGTTCAAGTCGAATGGAGAGCCCAAACGGAGTTTATGAAGTGCCCAAGGTCCCTGGGGACTATGTGTTTGACAATGCAGGGCTTTTGGCCTATGAGGCCGATGAAGTTCGACGATGCCTTTGCCAAGGTTTGTCTTATTAAAATATGGTTCATTCCACACCAAGTATGAAGAACCGTGGTGTGTGAATTATAGAGTGAAGCATCCCTTGGATTTTCCTGAAACTTGGCATGGAGATTTGTCCCATTAGGAAAATACAGGGTTGGCCAAAAAATAATGTACGCCACTCGAAATTTGCTATAAAATCCATATTTTTGAACAAATTGATTTGAAAATTTAATGAAATGTTGCCTAGGGTGTTCTTCAAGAGGTTTTAAAGTTTCATGGGCCTTCGACCCACTCCTACTCTTGAGTTATGGCAGATCTTGTTGAAACGTTCAAAATTCTGAGTGAACAGGAATATTACTGGCGCTGGAAGGCGCGAATCCAGATTTGCTTTTTGCTTTGAAAAATCTGTCCCTGCGGGTGGATCATCGTGAAAACTTAACAGGACGTTCTCAAATGTGTGTTTCACACCATCTGGATATTTCATGCATGTGCATACAATTTTATGCATTCCTTTGCAAATGTAGATTTGTGCCTCGCAACAATAGTCGCAAGCCTGTGCACTCAACATTTTGAACATTTCAACAAGATCTGAACTCAAGAATGGATAGCCACAGGCGTATTAAATCTTAACAGCTCTTGGAGAACATATTAGCCGACCTACCAATAAATTTTCAAATCAATTCGTACAAATATATGGATTTTGTAGGAAAATTTCGAGCGACTTGCTTCTTTTCGACCAACCCAGCACATATTGCAGTTTATTCTCTCACCCATGGTTCCAGAGATATTGGATTACAAAATTTCAACCAGAGCATTCTCCAATGTGGCCAGTGGCGTAGGCAGGATTTCGCCAATGGGGGCTAATAGGAACGATGTTACTTACTTCTCCTCGCCCGGGAGGGGAAGGAGGGCTGAAGTCCCTAGCTACGCCACTACATGTGGCTCCCTCCCACAAATGGCTCACTAACTCTGGAACTACTCAAGCTGGATAAATATGTTTAGCCTTATTCGAAAGATCTCCAAGTACTACACACCATTTTATCGTTTATCTTTTTATTTGATCAAATGAGCACACCCATGTGGAAATGATGGCAGTGAATTCTGATTTGCAATAACAGTCACACCATTTTTCTTTAAAACTAGTAAGCTAAGAGAGCAAACTGTTAAAAAGGGCAGACCAAATTTCTGGAGGGTATTCTAACTATGTACTTTCTTTTGTGCAAATGAGATCATGCATACCTGCAATTTTGCATACCCAATAGGTTTCATATAGTTGTCATATTGACCATATTAAAAATTATCCTTGCTGTTCAGTCTCTCTTTGGTAATAGTGGAGGAGGATGTGCACAGGTTAGCAATTCATTATAAAGCCTCCTTTACTCATGCATAGTTTTTTTTTCTTCACAAAAATGAACAATTTTGAGTTGAAAACTTCAATTATTACATCTACCTCTGCACATTTTTTTTTTTTGGAACAGGTTACACCATGATTTCTCAGCGCAAAATATCTCAGCAATGTCTTCTGGTGATGGCAAGATACTGAAATAATTAATGCTGTAAGGATCTCAGTTTTCATTCATAGCAACTCATACTCCTTTTCATTATAGTCACTCCTAAATACCTTGAAATTGATAGATACAATTGGCGTTCAGCATCACCAACACTAGAACTACAACTTTCAATTATGTGAAGCCTGAGAATACCAAGGAATCGTTCATAACTCATATACTTCATTGCACAGGTTGAAAAGATCTCCAAATTAAAATAATTTAAATTGCAAGAGCATCCAGGGTGAGATACTGAACTGTCTCTAAGTGATCCTTTTCACTTCAAGAACCCAAACTTATAGACCTGAGTTTTCTTACATCATGGTCAGATAACACAGCAACCACTCGGAACAGCCTCCTGAAGCTTTGTGTATCATTATAGCAGTGCTTATCAATACATTTCTGCTTAAACATTAATAGAAATTGAAGTTTTTATTTTATTCAAGGTCAAACATCACAGACATTGCTCAGATAAGGATGTGCTCATCTAACAGATTGAGAAATAATTGGAGAAATGGAAAGGTCTCTTCAAGAACTTCAGAAAGAGAGTAAGCATTTATCAAGCTTTAATAGGTGCAAAGATATTGAAGAAATAGTTCTAAAGGATCCTTGCAGAAGCATGCCCAGGTTACAACCCAGGACTGTAATCTTAGGAACAGTGAGTATATATGCAAAAACACCTGGCCTGTGTTTTTATTAACAATTCTTTTTTTCCATTTCCTCAATGCCAAATGTCAAGCCCCTCTATGAGATGTTGCACACAGGCTGATGAATGCTTTATGTGGAATGACCCCAAAATGCCACTAATCGTGACTCCATGCATCTGTTATATTGGTTTCAGGTCTGAAGGAAAGCCCCCTGGTCCCTCATTCCCTGACTCTGCTCATGGCTGACATCATGGAGGAAATTCGTAACCAGATAGGTGCTGAAACCTATTACTAAGGAGCATTTCTCCTGATATCACGAAGGGGGGTTTAAAACCCCCCATAATAACTCTTTGTCTTGATATGAAATTATACAAATGTGAAAAGCAGACATCCTCACCCAGTAAACCTCCACATGATCTCCAATGCTCATAGATATCTCCCATCATGGATGCATTGTCTGACTTCATTCCAAGAGCAGTTCACTGGTGCTCAATGTTTTCTGTTGAGAATTATTTTCACCTACAGACCTGCAAGGGAAAATACTTTACATGACTTTGCAATAAAGAGGAACTGATACTATGAATGAAATTAGTATGAAAAAAGTATGAAAAATATAGGTAGAACTCAAACAAAAAGAAGCCACAAAAAATGAATCAACAAAATGCATGCAGGCATTCATTAAAGAATGATTGGCAAAATATCAAATTCATTTTAAAAATAATTCACAATGATCACAAAAAGAAGGAATCACAGATGAGATTCAATGTGCCTTGACTTTCAGTCTCTTGCCTCTGCCTACTTGTAGTTTCACCATTCTCTTGAATAGGAAGGCTTGTTTCTTCTTAGCCATGCCCTCAACCTATTGCAGATGAACCCAATTAATAAAAAAGGAAAACATGTTTGATAGAGTCTCAATAAAACTGTTGACAAACCAGAGTTTTCTTGAGCTGTGTGTAAGCCTTTTAGGCTGCCTCACTGTGCTGCAGTTCCTCAACTGAAAACTCCTTCCTAGCCATCTTCACCATGGTCAGGAAGGATTTGATCCTTCCACCCAACATAGACTTTCCATACTACTTGGTGGTATGGGTGGGTCTCCAGGAAGGTTAGAATATCATAGGAGGCAATGAAGTGTACATCCAGGATGTCCATTCATTGTGTGATTGCAACTGTGCTCACCAACCTAGCATGTTGAAAACATTTTATTCCTATTCCCATGATTGATTATTTGAGAAAACAATATACAGATAACAGAAAATGGATCAATTTGATTTGAAAAAATCTGATCCCCATTAGTTCACACCAAGACTATTGCAGCAAGTCTGATATCAAAGCATATCCGTATCAACCACAATGTTTGCATGGTCAAACTTTGCAGATACAATGTAAATATTTATGACAGCATTTAATCAGGAATTGAGAATAGATTGATTGAAAGTGATGCAGACCACCTCTGTGCAAAGATCTGCCCATCTCAATGGGATCCTTCTTCAACTACAGTTTAGAGAGGGATAGATGTAAATGAGTATGTGACTTTGACATTAGAGACTGCCTTGTACAAAAAGAAAAAAACCTATAAGAATGGAACCTATCCAATATGAGTCCTCTACCTATTAATGGCAACTAGAAAAAGTGGCTCATTTCACATGCAACAGCGTAATAGTGACTGCTAGATTTCCCCCATTTTTGAGTCTCTTCACATCCAACAAAGTCCCCAAATTGGGTGCCATGTCCAGGAGTCACCAGCTAAGAATGAATAAGGTCAACATCACCCAAAAAGGGAATAAAAAGTTTGATACTCTTGGACAGCTCCAGGAGACTACACACTAACAGTTCTCGTTCAACAATTTCATTCCAGGATGGGAGGGAAGTAGAATAATAATAAAAACTCCTAGAAACTTTAGCATGGGAAAAAGTGAATTTGTTGAGGCTACTTTTGCTGCAAGTGGAATTCCTTCTGAGGCAATATGTAACTCTGAACTGACATATAAAGCATTTTCAGTGGTGCTTCAATAGTAACTTTTGAGATTGGTAATATTATATTGTGCAAGAAACGGTTGACAATATCAAGCCCTTTAAAACTCTTTTTGCACAGCCCAAGGAGATTGTACCTAAAATCACCATGGAAGAAGTGAGGGAGCATTCGGGGGAATGAAGAGAAACAAAGCAAAAGTATATGATGCTTTATTGATGTATTGTAATCATTATTAAGTGTAAAGGAGAGGCAGCTCATAAATGATTGGAGATCTTTGTACTCTTCCCTCAGAGACAACAAATACACTAACCATGGATGACAGCAGCCATCATCTTACTGTGCAAAAGACAGACCAGAAAGACCTCAAGGGCTATAGGCTCATAAGTTTTGTCTACAGTCTACTAGCTATTCACTAAAATTCTGAGTCACAGAATTGAAGAAACACTGAGTGAAAATTGATCAGGAGTGGATTCTCAAGTCAGCCATCTACATGTTATTGAACTGATAGAAAATAATCAGAATACAGGCCATTTTGCTTGGTCATTGTTGAGAAAGCCCTTGATTATGTAGCTATCCAAGTAGTTATCAGAACACTATTAAGCCATAGTCAACAAAAGTTTAACACCTATATGCTCCAGGATATCCAAAGGGAAAAAACATACCCATCATCAGCTAGCTTAAGCTTAAAGAAAATGAAAATATTTAGTCTTATGAACACCTTTCTATCTGAGGGCTTTTCCCCTTTCTTTACTGCCCCCCACCCCATGGCAATATGATATCCTCAATAAATGAACCAAATTTTCCAGAATAGTAATAAATTATGAATCAGAATAGGTATTGGGACTTTGTTATTGGAACCAGTGCAAATTTTGACAAATGATATTGAAACTCTTGTGATGCAAATTTGGAGAGTGGTTAAGTGTCTTTGGCTGATGCTGAACCTTCTTTTTAACTACTGAAGAGGACTGTGATAAACAAAGTAAAAATGGGATTTTAGCACACATCTATACAAGTAGAAGTATGTCAGTTCATTGATACCTCATCAGTCACAGGAAGTAAAGGGTCCAAAATCATCCATGAAAGTAGATAGTTTGGTTAACCCTCAAATCCTCCAAGACTCCATTCATAGGGACACATCCCATCTTACTAGGGATGATTCAGAAGTAATAGAAAAAGACTTTTCCCTCTTCAATGCAATTTGATGAGGCAATGCAGCTTCAGTCAAGTTTTTATAAATATCCACAATGATGAGCAACATTATCGATTTTCATCTGCAGTGCTAGGATACAGTACAATCATATCAAACCTCAAGTCCCCCTAACAGACATTCAAAAGCAACTAAAATCATAACACTCCTACAAATGGAGGAGATGACGACCAAAGTGTTGAGATGCATACCAACTCTGTAGGGTAATGATAGCATAAGGCCCATGATTGAAATATACACTTCACATCTATTACTATGACAGTATCGCTGATGTTCAAGCAGTGATCCAGACATGTATTTCAAACAGACCTGCATAGTTTTTCATGAATGTCAAGTTAAATCTGGAACCACCATAGCAAAAAATTAATCATTGGTGATAGAGGTTATGAGAAGAAGTAACAGAAATGTTGGACATGTAGTATATAATTTTGCACGTGTGGTGTGTATCAAATGAGTGCAATAAATTACTTTCCATTACATTTGGACCACCCCTTACATAACACTGTTTTCAGATTGAACTTGTTCATCCCCCCCATAGTAGAGATAGCACAACTTTCAGAGGCTCTGCTTCGTCAAGTCATTGATGAAACCACCCATGTAGAAGATGTCACCACCTATAATCAATAAAAGTGCTCCTATGGGGGGGTATGAATTCAATCCAAAAACAGTGTACATGATGTCCATATAGTCACAGGATAGCTATATTTAACATCTGAATTTTTATTTCACAATTCCATGGGGTGTGACATTGGCAACATTCTTATAACAAAGAACATGCAAAATTGTATTTAAAAATAAGTGATACATTTAGAGTTGTTGATTTTGAGTAAATTTGGTTTAATTTGTGTTGTGCATTGTGATGAACTTGTTTTCCTATACTCAAACTACTGCCCTGTGACTTTATGAGCATCTGTGCACCATAGCCAACAGTAAAAGCCAGGCATAGATTATCCTGCATCAATCTTGGAGATTCAACCAGGCACGGGCTAGACCAGAACTCCAAGATTGGTATGCTCATCAAATGCATGCAGAATATATTCACTAAGTCCTTTCAGGCATAGGTCTAAGCATACTCTGTCAGATCATAATACAGAAATAAACAAATGGGCCTTGGCCTTGACCCATCATATCCCATATATTTTCCAAGTTTGATACATTTCCAATGTTAGGCATAGTCTCTGTACCTATTCTGCTCAAGTTTTAGATTTTTTCTCACCAGGCCTAATTCCTGAATATTTTCTTCTCAATTATGATGTTTTTTCTATCAGGCCTAACAAACTCTAGACTTCATACCTTTTAGACCATGCATCCCTCCTTGCATCATGCTGGAGATGAGGGGTTCTTGGGGTCATCATTTTTTCCATTGAGGTTGATGCATTTTCTATTGACTTTGCTATGGCACATGAAGTAGTCTGTGTGAAAACCCTGTAGCCTAGGCCCAGATCATCATCAGGTGAGATCTAGCTGTGAATTCTTGCCATTCAATTCAATTATAATTACTGTCTCAGTTCAATTCATGTCTAGTTTCAGCTTTAATTTCTAATTTAAAATAGGGCTTCATAGAGTAGTTTCATATTAGTTTATTGAGTCCTTGTTAACTTGAAAATTTAACAGGAGTTAAATTGGAAATAAAAGACATTTGCATCTTTAATTGAGATTTTTTACAGTTCTCCATCCTAGCTAATTCATAAGAGCACTACCATATCTCACTTAATGGATGCAATGGCACTACAACTTATTGAATTACATATCCTGTTGAATCAGTCCGAAGATATAGTCCTAAACCTTAAGAAGAAGTTCTTCACAATGGGTCTCTGTTCCTCTGTTCTGTGAATTGAGAAAACACAAGCTGTCTATCTTTATTTCTATAAGTTTCCAATTGTATATAAATGAAGTTCATGCAAGTACATGGTTCAGTAGATCCATTTAGATGAGTAGCAGCTACCCATGCAACAAACACCATAATTGACCAGCCGACAAACTGAGCTTGCATTCATATTAAAGCATTACCCAGTTAAGAGGCAGCTCATTTCAATTCATTCCCATGCTAAGCTAAAGGGGGTCCATAAGGCAATGTTTGACTCAGGTTTAGTTCCAGTTCAGTCTCAGTTTCCATTAAATCGTGTTAAAAGTGAATTGGTAGGATAATATTGCCCATACCATTGTTTTTGGATTTAATTCATGGGAGCACTTCCATTGATTGCAGGCAGATACATTCTCCTCATGGGTAGTTACTAATCATTTGGTGAAGCAGATCTTCTGGAAGTAGTGCTTTTTCTGTTCACCCCCACACAACAGGGATACAAATTCAATCCTGAAAAAGGTAGTTTCTCAGTTTCAGAAAGATACTATGGAAAGGTAAGATGCTACAGCAGTTATACACTTCCTCCCAACAATCATGAAATATACGAGTAAAACTGCCAACTGGGTTTACGCTCAACTAAATATGCGATTTCATATTACCAAATTAATCAGTGCTTGTCTCCAGTTTCAGTTGTCAATAGAGATACTAAAACGGAACTGAAGATGTGGAATCATTATAG